CCCCAAAACCCCAAAACCCCAGTTAACTTATAAAAAGCATCTATAGAGTTTAATTTTTTTGAGAAGTTTAATCAACTTAAAATACATCTGACTTAAGCATTGTAAGATATCTTTCAATGATAAAATCAAAATTTCTTATAGAAAAGTGGCTCTTCCAATAATTATTTTTCTTGACCTAGTTTTTATTTATTCTTTGAATACAAAATAATTCCAAGAGCAATGACAATCATAATCAGTACTTAGAACAAGAACAATGAAAAAGATTAGTCACCAACAGAAATAAGTTCCCAGTTGTATTCTGGTTTTGAGACATTTCTCTATAGATCAAATTAGCCTTCTTCACTAGCTAAGCATGTATTAAGTTCTAAAATTTATGCTGATATTTTATCATCAAGGTATTTAGACTTATCACCTATTTCTTAAGTATCGAAAATACTATTCTTAGGGTAGTTAGTGAGTTCACAGCCTAAGATTATAGCGGACTCTTAAATCAGCTAAATGAAATCAATCTAGCGTGATCTTTTGAATTCTTGAAAATCTTAAAGTATCATCTGTTGATGATGTTCAAGTGCCTAGAGTTAATGTAAAGTCTTCTAATCAGTTGGATTTTTCTCTTAGTTAAATTGTTCTTTATCAGTAAAAAATCCTTCCTCTCGAATTTATTATTTCATCGCTTGGTTTTAAATTGTAAGAGACTGTTTTAAGGTATTCTAATTATTTCTATTGTCATTTTAGCAAAATTTTAGACACTCCAATTTTTCTCTGATGAAATCTTTGCTTGCAGATTGACTAAGGTCTTATTCAGTTTTACAGATGAAATAGCATTAAACCTACTCTGAGTTTGCTAATCCTTGATCATGTAGTTAACTGGTGAATTAGTAAAGTCTTGTGAGATACACTTATTTCAAATCTGCATCGAATTGCTTGTGCAGCCTAGTTAATGTATCGATTGCAGTTCTACCTTAGAGATATTGATATTTTGAATCGTTCCAAGAATTCGAATGTACCTATGAGGAGCTTATCGCTGCTACTATAATAAGCCTGCTAATGATATGTATTTTAGAACTCATCAATGAATTATTTATAAAATCAGAATGCAATATTTTTAATAATTGCAAATTTAATGAATACATAATTAGTGGGGTTTTGGGGTTTTGGGGTTTTGGGG